GAATCTTCTTGGCAAGAGAAAAAAGATGCTTATTAAAGGAAAGAAAATCTCATTGTTCTTTTGTGATTGAAACCTTATATATGGTTAGAATACTAACCCAGGTCTAGTCTGGCACAAGGTCATAATAGTGGAGTATTTACTAAGGATCAAATAGCAATAGCCTTTGAAACTATAGCAGTGAATGTTTTATCATTGGCTTGAGAATACTGTACAGCATTGATTTATATTTATATATATATATATATATATATATATATTTGCTCAATAAAATTGCACTAGTCAAAGCAGCAGAACTAATGAAAATAAAGTAATGTGTTTGTTTTATTGCATTATAGAAATGTCAATAAGTGGAATTAATCTCTGGGGTGTGAACAGGCAAGCAGCAGTCATCGTGCCAGAGCAATAAATGCTGCTGGACTTGCTGCTTGCAGGCTTTTGCTTCATATACTGCCTATTACAATTGTAGCTAAATGTTTTAATTTTTTTTAGTACTATTGTTCACCGAATACATGGCCCAAGAGCCACACAAGGCTATTAAATGTGGTTGTTGTACAAGTGTACAGATGTGCATAAGGATATGGAGGATAGTTAATGGATAATGGCTGACCCTCAATGAATAATTTAAAGATTGTAGTGATTGGAGAAGCATCCTCTCAAGATCCCTTTCCACAATGCAAGAGTTCTGAGGAAGAAGCTGTTTACATAGTACTTGTTCCTCACCAATGGAAATGGGGATGGGTCAAGTGTTAATGCAGTATGGTGGGTGCTATGAAGGTCTTGACTGGTGAGGGACCCCTCTCCCCTCCAAAAAAATTGTTTACCCAAACAATCTGCCATAAAAATAGCAATAGACTAACAAGAGGTTAGCAAGGTTTCATGTGTGGGGAAAGGGGTTCTAGGGTGGAAATTAATTCATCACCCACAAGGCTGTACAAACACTTTTAAACTCTGTTGAGGTTTGAAAGTGAGGAATTGGGCTGCTCCAACCCAGATGTGGCAGATAAGATAAATTCATATTTGTTTTGTTCTAATCTGAGTTCAAAGGGTTAAACCCTCTTACATGCCTGTTAAAATTATATAATTCACAAGGAATTGAGACAAATGCTGATATCTGTCATAAAAAGCAGGCAAAAGAACATCTTTTCATGCTGTTCCTGGTAAGAAAATCTTCTTAAATATTTCACCTCTTCCTAACAAAACAATTATTCCAAGTTTTGACCAGTGAACTTTCTGGTCATCCTTTAGCTGACTTTTTATTCTTTCTTTTTAGTTTTTTTCAAATAGAAATGTAATCACTGCAAAATCTGAACAAACATCTGATGTCACATGGAAGAATATCAAATAATCAATCACTTGAGAAAAGTGATAGAGGTTACCTATAGGGGTTGATGTTATTTAATGGTCACTTAAGTTTATAGCAAATTCTGTTGAAGATATTGGTATCAAGTTCAATAAAAATTGACATTTGTGATATAAAGGCAAATGGAGTCAAACTAAAGGAAGACTGTTGGGCCAGTTTGGGAAAACCAGCTTTGAAAACTCTTCCTAAAACTTTTTTGTTTTATTTTTTTAACCAGGGTTTGAATATCAACCATATGTGTTGGACGTGCTTGGTGGCTGTTGCATATGTTTTGTCAGTAATTTGAGCCCTGATAAATGATATGGTTTTGAATCATCCACAATGTCAAGGTAGATAAGCCCTTCCCATTTAGTGGCAAACAATGGTCTTGTGCCAGATTATTTGAGATTAAAATAAATAAATATTTATGTAATTCATTTTGTAGGTACAAATTTTAAAAATTATTTCTATTTTTCGAATTTTTTTTTCCCTTCTTTTTAAAATTATGACCTTGTAGTATTCAGAAGTAATTGAGATCTCCCTTCCACCCCTGTTGAAAAATGGAATAGTCAACTGTAGATATAAGCAGTTGACTTTCCCCCCACATGTATTGAATAAAGTGGAGGGTACCTCAAGGTGGTGTAATGGTTAGCAAGCTTGTCTTGCTAGATCAATTACGACTGAGTAGTGAGTTTGATCCTCACTGGGTGCCCCATACTTTCGGCCTTGTGCCACATCTAAGCCGGGCTTAGAAAATCACTACCACGGCAACCTCTGCTTCGGCGGATTTCTCCCAATTTTGACAAATAAGGATCATTTCTCGGCCTTTGGCTGAGATTCGATCATGGCTACGACTAGTTTGGACTGGCTTCGGCCTGGACTAGCTAAGACAAGCCATGACCAGCGTTAACTAGGCTCTGACCAGCTTGGACATGCTAAGACCCGTTTTGGGCCTTTGAGTGGAAACACTCGGGCCTCCCACGTCAAACTGACCTTGTGTCACATCCGGACCCTGTGGGAGTCGGGTAAATACCATGGTTAGCAAGCTTGTCTTGCTAGAACAATTACAACTGAGTTGTGAGTTCGATCCTCACTGGGTGCCCCATACTTTCGGCCTTGTGCCACATCTAAGCTATGCTCGGAAAATTACTATGAACATTTCTGGGCACCTCCAGGTGGTGTAATGGTTAGCAAGTTTGTCTCGCTAGAACAATTATGACTGAGTAGTGAGTTCGATCCGCACTAGGTGTCCCATGCTTTCGGCCTTGTGCCACATCTAAGCTACGCTTGGAAAATCACTATTGAATAAAGTGGAGGGTACCTCGAGGTGGTGTAATGGTTAGCAAGCTTGTCTCGCTAAAGCAATTACGACTGAGTAGTGAGTTCGATCCTCACTGGGTGCCCCATACTTTCGGCCATGTACCACATCTGAGCTACGCTTGGAAAATCACTATTGAATAAAGTGGAATAAAGCTTATCTTTAAGTTTATTCAGGCTTTCACTACAGACCTCAAACAAATTGTAACTATGGTCATTTTTACCATGGTTCCCTTAAAAAGGAACCATGGTAAAAATTACCATTATAAACATTTTGTCAAAACCTTAAAATTTTTTTAAAATTGAAAATCTCTTTATTAATCAGAAATGTAGAAATCAATCGACTCTTTGAACTTCTATGGAACTGAACTTTGTCCTTAACATCACCTAAGTGCTTTATAATTGTTGCCTTGTGTCAGATGTGATCAAGTTTAAAAGAAAAAGATTTTACAGTTTAAATTTTATGGGGTGATAATAATATATGATCCCCTTCCCAAAAATTCTGACCAAATAGACAAGCAACAGAATTTTTTTTTCTTTTTTTGAATGTTACCTTGGTTAGCCTAAAAACTTTTCAAGACTCTCAAAGTTCTTTAAAAGCATTAAAGACAATATTTTGTTTAAAATATTTTTTTTTTAATCTTGGAGATTTGTGTCACGTCTGGTAACACTTTAAGTTTGTATATTTCTTGGTTTAGTGGAGGAAATGTTTTCATTGTTATAAATTTAAAAAAAAAAAAAAATTGTATTCATTGGTAAACATTTCTCTCTTTCTGTCCACACCTATCTTTTTCCCATCACACAAAACTGTGTCTTCCAGCTGTCAACCAACAGCTTCAGATATTTATTTTCTATTTTTTCTAGCAGATTAAATGAAGCAAACTGGGAGTTAAGTAGTAGAGCTTAGATAATTAAATTATATTTTTACAGGGATTTTTTTTTTAAGGAAGGGGAGAATTAATTTTCTTATTTCTGCTGAGAATCTAATTTTGTTTGAAGAAAATCCTTTACTTGTTGTAAGTGTTCATTTCTCACCCAGGCAAAACATTTCGTCTAGTGGCCGTTAAACCAACCCTACTTTGAAAATTAATACTATATGATTAAAAAATAAATGACTCGCGACAACAAACAAAGCTGATAATTACTTACAAATCGTGTGTGTGTGTGTTGGAGAGCTATTTTAACTACAGGTCCCTTCGACTTTTGATATTTACTAAGTTTAGAACGGTGTGAAACGAAAAGAATGTTGGAAGATTGTGTTGCGTCAATTTTCTAAGTGAGAAGTGCTTGTCTGGTTCGAACAGACCACGCAATTGTTTCAACTCCTCAGCAATGATCTCTTTCTCTCCTTCCATTCCGATGTTTGAAGTGGACCTGAAAAATAATATTGCGTTTTTTTTTATCCATATTTTTCACTTTTTCCCGTGTTACTTTTTCTACTTTCGTTTTTAATGTGATTTTCATAAAATACAAAGTTTTAAATCCTTGTGTTTTTTGAAGAGCAATAATAAAAGAAATTATCCTTGTCTCAATTATTTCGGTTACCGTCGCCTCCGACTTTCACTCTCATTTTTATTTTTCTCCCTCTTATGATTCAGTTGTTTTTTTTTTTCTTCTTTTTTTATCAACTTCACTTAATGCCAGGTGCGAGCAAAAAAAAAAAAAAATCAAATGCATAGTCATCGTCGTTGTTTTAAAGATAATAAACAACACTAATTTCCTGTAACTGATAAAAAAAGGAACGTAGATCCTTGAGCAAGGAAGGGTTCCTACTAAGAGCGAGTTAAAGAGACAGACACGCTATTTGTTAGTCCGCTACAAAAACAACTTTATTACAGACTTCTTGACACGGCGACCACAACGACGAATTTCCTTGTGTTTTAAAACCTTGTCAAATACATCCTGTTTTTTCTTTCTTTTTATAATTCTATCATAAAGAGGATATTTATTTTTCTTTGCTTTAAAAAAAAACAAAAAAAAAAAACTGGTTGTTTAAAAACTAAAAGCAACTGGACAAGCCATCTTATTGCTCATCAATATTTCAAACTATCAATTTTTATCACATTTAATTTCTCCACCGTCCATGACTTCATCAAGTACAATAAAGCCATCATAACATTAACATTTTTGTTAAATCATTATCGGACCCCCCTGCTTTATCAACTTATCTCTGTTTTCCTTTTTTGTGCACAACCAATTACCAGACAACTTGCTAGTTTCACTGGCGATAAAAAAAAAGGACTGGTGTTTTTTTTTTTCCTCACCAACAGAACATCTTTTTCGAAAAGATCCCAACAACCTCGAAGGTTAGGAACAAAAAAAAAAAAAAATGACTGCTCGCTTTATGCTTCAACCTTTGGATAAATCAACAGCCAGTCCTTTATTTCAAAGGAGATTACTTCACCACAATGAAATAGAAAAGTTAAATATTAACGATAGTCGTCCCAACTCCATCAGGTAGGAGGACCTTTGAAATTTAAATATTATTATTATTATTATCTCTATTTCCAGGTGACGTGCGCTTAGATGATATTTTTTTGTCTTCATCTCTTTTTAAATCCCAACTTTTACAGGTTTTTTTTTTTTTGCGGGGGGGATTTTTTTCTTTCGCTCATAAACAAGTATTTTTAAAACTTAAGCGAAAATCATCTGCAGTTATTTTCGTTTGTCTTCAGTACTACTTACAGAGTGATGGCAACTCGCTATATAGTTAAGATTTTTAGCGTCATTGGAATTAAGTTTGCATACACAGCAATTATTTTTGTTTGTACTTCCTTCCATATTTTTGTTTTCTAATCAAAATTGTTTACCGCTGAAAGGTATATTTTTTTTTTTTTTTTGGCATTCATGAAAAAAAAATGATGTCTCTAAAATGCAACAAGAATATCACTTAAAGACATGAAACTTTTTTTAACATTGTTCATCATGAGTCCTTGTTTAATTTGACAAAGCAATTACAACTTTTTGTCTCTCACTCATTTCAAGAAATGAGGGTCGGGCATTTTCTGTCCACGTCAATAAAATTATTGCCAAAATATTTTTAACTTTTTGTTTTGTCTTTTCGCCGAAAGTTAAACTTTATTAAAAATCGTTACTGACAAATGTTTTCGTTTTTTAAACTTCAAAAAAAAATCTCGCACTTTGATCATTTGTTTTTTTTTTTTATTTAAACGTCTTTTTGTCTTGTTATGGAATTGTTAGGATTTCCTTGTCAAAAGCAACACCTTTATTTCTTTAGGGTCTCTCCAAGGTTCCTTTTTAATTTTATTTTTAAGGCATCGTTTTTTCTGTATTATAATCTGTACGGTATGATTTTATAATTAATTTTATTATTTTATGATGGATGAAAAATATTTGTTTTTAATAATTGACTTTTTTTTTTTTTTTTTTGTTTGGCTTACATTTGAACGATTTATGTAAAAATCTGAATGAAATTCAGATTTGATCCCAAATAGAAGAGGAGAAAGACTTTTTTAACACAATTATTACCTGTTGTTGATTTTTGTAACAAACACAAAAAAAAAAGTTGAACTTAACGAACCAAAAATCCTTCTCGGTAACTCGACACATTTTTTTTGTTGGGAATTTCATTTCAAATAAGGAATTAGATTCACTTTATTTTTCTTATGACAAACTACAGTTTTTTCTTTGTTTGGTCCTCAATGTCTCCCTCCAAACCAAAACAAAACATTTTTTTTCTAATCAAATTGGAATCTGACAAAACACAAAACAAATTTTTTTGAGTCAAGCAAGCTTTTTCTTAATGTTTTTTATTTCTTTTCTTTTTTTAAGAATCCCAAATTGCACTTGTCGTTTCGCACCTGCGATAAGCTAAAAAGAAAATTTTCATCATGAGTCGCTATTTTTATGCATGACTGAGCAACAATCTTGAAGTTTTTGTTTTTCTACCTCTTTTTATTAAAACAAAAATCCATACTTGTCAAGTGTCTGAAGGTCTGACTCTGATAACATCTCGGTTTAATTCAGTATTTTTTTGTGATTTTTTGGTTAGCTATGTTTGTCACAAGGCCATTAGTATCAGGTAGAAAACTAGTTTTGAATTGAACTCAATACATGGCAGTAATAATGGTCTCAGCCTGCTTCTCTGACTAAAAACACTGTTGCACATTTTTGTCCATGGATCAAACAAGTGTGCATTGCAAATGAAGTTCAATATTCTTTTTTACCTCAAGAAGAGGATAGCCCTGTTAAAAAAAATATTTTTACTATTCAAATGAGGAAATATTCAATGTTTTATTGTTTCTAAAAAAATATATTTTTTTATTTTATCTAAATTTAATCTTTTAATTTATTCAATAATTTATTCTTGGTTTAAAAATATTTTTCTTAGAAAGAATTTGGAAATATTTTTAAATATTGAATTTGGTTTGGATTAGTTGAGTTCAATTATATCTGGCTTTTAAAAGGATTAATGAACTTTTATATTTAAATTAGACATTTTCTTTTGAAACAAATTATTTATTTACCTTTTTAGTTTTAAACTGCTGAATTAATTTCACCTGTTTTCATTTGAGAAGATGATTATGATATCAGCTATTTTTACTCTTACTCTGTATGTTTTATTGTCATGCTCTGTAATTTGCAGTTTCAAGTTTCATTGCTTTTCCTCTACTCACATTCCCAAATGCTATGCATTTTCATTTTGCCTTATCTTCCCAGATATTTGAAAAACTCACAATTCTAACACTAGTTTGGAGTTGAAAGCTTGAACTGTCTGCTCTTTGTGTAGCAATTCATTAATGAAATTAGTTTAGAGAGAGACTTTGGCTTCAGACTGAGTTATTTGGTGCAATATTTGAAGTTCCATCCATACCATTAGTTTTGATGAGTTTAAATACAGTTCTTTTTCCCCAGATTATTTTGTAGATTGTAAGATTAAACATTTTTAGGTGCATATTTGTTTTTTCCATTCATGTTTATTTTTTTTCTTCAAATCACATGAATTGCCTGCTCAGACTATTGAAAGAGAGACCTTGTCAAAACATGATGTTTCTAGCAACATACTTTATTGGGAGAGGTGACATTCAATCATGATGCACTGGGTTGTGGCTTAAATGAAATGAGGTATTTTGGAAGTTAATTTGTTCTCAATTGAAAATTTATGGCAAAGTCTGAAAGATTGAATTCATCAGTGAGACCCACAAACACATGAATTTAATATCATTTCTAAGCAAGAATAAAATATCAAAAGATTCTTGTTGAAGAGTTACAAAATGTTTCTGAGTAGAAATTGCAAACCACAACCATGCAAGTCTGAAAATTCAATACACTGGATGATTATAAAAAGCACTGAGTGTTGTAAGCTGTTCTTTGCAGAGAAAGATAAAAGTTATAGGAGACAGTAATTATGAATTTGATTGAAAGATAGCAATTGATAGAAACTTTATAGTTGTTAATATCACAAATTAAAGATTTATTTTTACTTAATAGATGGAATAGACTTGTGCTATAGAATATGTTGCACTTGGATCTTCTCTAAGCTGTGTTTGGCATGAAGCCTCAGGATTGAACCATTTTAGTAAGGATCAATTTCACTTTCAATATCTATTAGCCTGTGATACATAGTCATCAATTGTAGAGATTTCTCAGAATTTCTGTCTTTTAGAAATTGAGGCAATTGGTATTTTTTGGGGGTTAAGAATCTTAATGAAAAAATTTGTTGAAATGATTTTTTTTTTTTTTTTACTTTTTATAAACTCTTTCACATTCAGGGCAAAATTATCTTTAAAAAGTCATTGCTTATGATGTTTTAGATGAGTAAAGATGTTTTTAAGTGTCTTCTCCAACTTCCTTCTGAGTTGTGGAAGGAGAGGGGGGACATAAGGGCAAGATCAAAGCTGAGTTGGTCAACTTCCTACAAACTCAGTCTCAGAAGAATCTTTTAGATTGTAAAAATTGTCATATTTAGTGTCAGTCTAAAAATAGAAATAGTTCCTCTGCAATAAGAGGATGCTGCAGATTCTCATGCTCCCCCCCCATCCACACACACACACATATGCAAAACTGAAAATATTTAAAAGATGAAGAGTAAGGAAGTTGGCTATTTTTTTTTTTTTTTTTACTGACAATGGCTGACATGCTGGCTTAGGCACACACACACGTATGCATTTTCTTTTTTATATTTTCATTTTACTTTCACTAATGCTGCTAAGATTTGCTAAATTATGTTGAGTGAATTTCATTTTCTCAACCAGTTCATCTAAAAAATAAATAAATAAATAAATTTAGCTAAACTGCATTTAACTAATATATCAACTTTGTAAATGCTGAGGTTTTATACAGAAAAAATTAATCAATGCATTGATCAGCTTGATTAGGAATGAATTTATATGCAAAGGGTAGATCATGGAGCAACTCTTGGTTTCAATAATAATAATAATCTCTCTTAAACAACATGAATAAATTCTTTAATAGTAATATAGGGTTTCTTGTAACTTGTCATGTTTCAGTGTAAAGGGTAATCATCTTTATCACTTTATTATTATTATTATTATTATTATTGTAAAGAAAAAGGTTTTAAAATGTTGCCTTTGTTACTAGTCTGCTCATCAACGCTTCATCTCTCAGAACATTTTTAGGCAATTACCATAATTTGTTTTATTACCATAAAAAAAAATCAATAATCTCCTGGCCTCAAATCAAGAGTTGACCTATACAGAAGATTGGTTTCTATATAATTGTTTCATAACTTTTTTTTTTTTTTTTTTTGTAAGATATTTTTCTGTTTTTTAATAAACTGATTCCTAATTTTTTTTCTTCGTCCTCAGTTTTGTAAAATCTGCAATCAAAAATAGAAATATTTACACTTTTACCAATTTTTTTCTATTATTGCCAGATTATGCTTAAATCAGTTTAGTGAAGTTATTTGGAATAATTAACTGTTATGCTGTAAGACTGCAAGATGTTCTGATGATTGACATTATGGCTTGATCTCATAAGGTATACATGGTCTAGTGAAAGAAAGGTACATGATCAGATGTCATGATTAAAGCACTGCATGTTTTTTTGTCAATGAAAAATCAATTAGCAAACAATGTTGGAGAAACAGATTTAGGAATTCAGCCAATCAGCAATCAGTAGAAATGTAAATATTTTCATTTAGCTCCAGTTAAATGATCTTTTCTTCAGATCATTGAACAGCTAATTGCATCCCTTATACCAGTTATCCTAAACTAAAATATTATTTTCAATAAATCTAAAAAAAAAAAAATTAATAAAGGCCTCGAGAGTGTAGCAAAGCATAAAAATGATACAAATTTTATTTTGGTAACTCAATTAGCAATCTCTGACCATTCAAAGTTCTGTTTGGCCAGAAGCCAATTTTAACAGTGCATAACTGAAGATGCAGTCTTGAAACAAGTGAAAGATTATAATAAAATAAAGATTATACATTTTATGGTTTTACCAATGTGTAGTCTCTGTTCAAGAATAGGAGA